AATTTTTACACCACTGAATCCACTGTCCTCTCCTATAAATCTGACCGGAACAAACCACCAATTTGCAACCCTCGAAGGAGGATCCGTTGTTCCAGAGAGCTCCGACGCCGATAAATCTCGATTTTTGAGTTTTTTAGGCCCATAGAGGACATTGTAAGCATAGTATCTCAGGAACCAATGCAAGTTTGGCCGAATTCGACCGAAAACGACCGGAAACGACCAACCCGAGGTGGATCGCTGCTGCAAGTGGCGGCGCCGTCGTCGGAGCACGACGGAGCCGCCATGTCAGAATTCTGTGGTCGAGGAGGCCCTGGGTCTGATTTAGAGTTTTTTGGGGACATGTGCAGGTACCAAAAGTGTGTTTCAGTTCCCGGAGAAAAAAATTCAGAGAATATAGGGACTGCCCATAGGTACAGTGAAAAATTGATTTTAGATTTCGAATCAAGTAAGGATCTCTCACTCTATTTCCTATCACGGTACTAAAGTCTAATAAATGATAAAACGGTATTTTATAAATTCATGGATATGTATAATTAATTAAGGTTGCTAATGGAGCCCGAATCTGATATGTTTTTCGGTCAATTCCTATTTGATTTATTTTACAGTCTAAATGTAGTGTAGTATCTAATTTGTTTATTTTATAGCTTCGTATGCATGATTCACTATTTAATTTATTATGGTTTGATTATTGTGAACCCGATATTATATTTGCCTGGTTTGATGTTCGTTACTAGTTTACATATTCATGTTTGATTGGGTAATTGAGACTAAGAACAAATAGGAATGGGATTGAGTTGATGAATGGATAAGTTAACAGCCTCACTAGACATCCTGGGAGATGGTGAACGGACTGGGTCCATAGGGGACCCTATCGGGAATGTTGTCTCTCATACCGGACTGGGTATGGAGACTTTTAATGTTTTGGCACTCATACCGGACAGAGTATGGGGAAGGCCCGTTTCACCCTCATATCGGATGGGGTATTGAGGTTTATTGCTTTGGCGCCCATACCGGACGGGGTATGGGGACGGCACTGGAATTAAGTTGTTAAAATGAATGGTTCACGTATGGCGGGAACCCCTATGGATCCCCATGGATATTGGTATGCTGGTGAAAGAGGAAATTTATTGCTTGATGATTGAAATATTAAAAGTATGACATGTGTTATATTACAAAGTGCGTATGATTTCATGATATTATAATGTTATTATTTTCATAAGTTGTTTTTATGAATCTCACCGAGGTAAGTGGACAGTAAAAGGTTTTATTATTGATAAATGAATTTGTTATAAATTATGCTGCATTGGTCGTTTTTATTTTCTACCAATCTTTACTTCTGTGACAGTGAGATAGT